TATTTATCTTATCAAAGAGACACATCTGACTCAATGCAGCCGCCATTAGTGCGCCAAAGTCCACTTGAAACCACAAGCTACCTGAGAAGACAGACGCGTCCTGTTCGTGGATCCCCTCGGTCGTCCTCTCGGCCGGGGCTCTGGCACAGTTTCCATCGGCACATCCGGGAAAGTTCCCTTCAGCTTGATCGTCTCGGTGAAGGGCAGCGTGCGGAAGCAGATCTCGCCTTGGTTCTGAAAAGACAAGGTAAAGTTTTTAATGAATAATCGTACCATTTTGTCCATATAGTTGACGGCGAGCGGCTCGCGGTGCTGCATGGCGGCCAGCATGTGAGCACGAGGCTCACGGTCCTCCATCTGCTGCTGGATGCGATCAAGGTGGTGCTGAACCTCGGCATCGGTGTCTTGGAAGTTGGACAGGTCGTCGTGGCGGAACGAGATGGATTCTGGAAAAACGTAAGTTAAAAAAGTCGAAAAATCGGTTAATTTGATAAATTAATAGTTTGAATCTCATATTTTCAAACGTTATTAATTCGAAATCATCACCGCAAAAATTATTGCTTGGAAAAGGTCATAATTAATAACTTTACTTTCAGTCATAAATTCATAATTTGCATAGAGCCCAAAATATCAAAAAATGTCAAATAAATTCTTTTTCCGGTAACAAATTTACGCATTATTATCGACGCAATGCGGGCCGGAGCGCCAAAAATGCGCACAATTTCCAAAGTGATATATTTTCGACGTTTTGGCAGGGATTCGAACCTTGAATTTGAAAGTCTCTAACTCACCAGATCCAGCCGATCCGGGCAACGGTGGCGGGCCGACGACAAGGTTGACGCCAGGCGTGGCCGAGGTCGAGCTGCCCGAGCCGTCGAGGAAGTTCACCTTCCTGGGCGAGATTCGGGACAAGTCTTCGTAGGAATCATCCGGGTCGCCGTCCTTTCTCCGAACTGTGCCGGCTAGACGATAATAGGAAAATCGCGCGAGCACTTACATCTTCCTCGGATGACCGGCTTGGCGCCGCGGGCAGCAACGAGGAGTGGGGCTGCGCGAGGGGTGGCTGACATCATCTCTTCTTGCGGTGGTTGCTGATACTGCGGAGTGATGGTGGCGGGGGCTTTTCCCTGGAAATTAAAAATACTACAGTATTCTCGACACCATATTTCATCAAATTTTCGAAAATAATCAACCGAAGATTTTTGTTGAATATTTGTCTTCGCTCTTCCATGGAAATTAAAAAAACCTTTGTTTAAAGTACTCTAGGATATGATTTTTCACCAAATTTATACAAAAACCATAAAATACCTAAATTTTACCATCGAAATACAAAAACTATTAAAAAGCCTAGAAATTGATTTATAGTAATTTTCTAAAAACAAATTTAATCCGATTTTTTCTAACGCTCACCGTGAGTAGAGCACGATGCGGGGGTTCAGCCTGTTGCATTGGCGGCATCACGCGAGTCATCGTTCTAAAAAGATAAACATATTCAGTCGACAATTGATGCTTTTAAAGAAAAACCATAATTAATAATCCTGTAAACTTAGAAAAATTTATAATATATTGTTTTCTGTCTCAATAAACTCTCGACGCAATATTTAAATTCGATACCGTAAGACTACCAATAAAAATATTAATCATAATACGCACTTATGAGGCGTAATCTGCGACGGGCGCTGCGTCAACACCGGTTTCCGAAGTGTGGCTCCTCCAGGGGGATTGTTGACCGGCTGTACGGTGCGTCTGTAGCTGCCCTGCGCGCCGCCACCGTAATACGTGTTGCTCATCGTGTACGAGGGAGAGGCGTAGGTATCTAAAAAAAAACTGAATAGACCCTGAAAAAGGCGGTATTTTCACCATTCCGGTGTGCGACGAGAGCGGCCCGTTGACCGGGATACTGATAATTTTGGCCGCCGATGACGAGCTTCTTCGAGTGGTCGCCGGCTGAGCGGTAGGTGGTGCCGCCGATTTGCGTGACACCGGAACGGGGTCTAAATATAGTTTTCTACGGGTTTTTCGATACATAAATCATGAAAGTTTATCAGTTTTGAGGAAATTTCGCAATAAAATTGATAAATGCTCGAAAATTAGGTTTTAAAAATTCGTATATAAAGCTTACGCTGAATACATCGCTCCGCCCTCCTGATAAAATCGATCGGCCGCCGAGCCGCGCCCAACAACCACCTCGGTTTCGAGGTTTTCGGAGAATTCGAGCGGCGGGATCTCTGGGAATTCTTGCGAGTCACGAACGGAACGCTGCGCCGGATCGGCCGAGTCGTAGTCATGGTCCTAAAGCAAAAAATTATAGTTTTTTTAAGCAAAATCATTTTCCTAAAATTAAAACAAATTTTGGGTAGATTTGACCAAGCATTACGCTAATTCCTATGCTAAAAAGTTGGCACATTCTTAAATGACGAAACAATTGCCTCAGGCGAAAGTCTGATTCACCCGTTTAAAGTTGTAATGATCAATTTTCGTTTTAAAAAAATTAGGCCTGTTGAGCCTCAATATCTCGATTTTTCACGCGTTTATGAAATGTCTGACATCTCCAGCATCTTCCCATTTCTCCACTTCACATTAATTGTTCATTTTGATGGTGTGACCTCCTTACCGGCACCTTTTATCATATTCACAAAAATAAGTCGGGTCGACGGTTTTCAAGAGATAGTCCAGCGACCTAAATTAATGATTTTCCCTCGTTTTCAGCTTCTTCCCATTCCTCCCACTTCCCATTAATATTCGCAAGGATGTAGCCAGTCTCCCTGGGGCCCCCGTTCCCGTCTTTTACGGCATCAAATGCTGGGAGTGAGTGCGGGGAGAAGGGCTTGAGGCCGGGCAGCGAGCGGGTGGTGGGAGAGCCCAGGGTTGCAGAGACGCAGACACATCACTGCTCCAGCTTCACTCGCCCAAATATTGGATACCCGGGGCCCATGCAGTGAAAAGAAGCCGAAAGGGAACACCTCAACACAACACGCTAGCCCTCCCTGGTGGACCCCCACCAACAAAGGATGACTGGCACGACGACGGTGGGCTGGATTATTCTGAGGCTACGATATCGAAGCGATCGATAAGTGACGTCATTAAATGGGATTTAGGCGGGTTTGTGGGTATTATTGCTTTAGAGCAATCGTAAATCTTGCTTAGGATCCCTAATCATAACTATTTTGACTTTTCACCTAGTTTTATGTCAATTATCTTAACGATGTCGATCGATAGGTCACTTTGAAATCAGATTTAGACTCGCCTAAAAGTTATCGTTCTTCCTTATAAAAAAGGAAGAAATAGCCAATTTAAATAATTTAAACAAATCTACGATCTGATCCAGGTTTAGGGCTAATTATTTTATCGAGATCGATCGATCAATTTTTTCATGAAATGGATTTTGATGCGAGATTGAAAAGAATAATTACTTCAGAAAATCGTAGAATCCTGTCGATGATGTCTAATTATAACGTATTTACCGTTTTCACCTAGTTCTAACGCAATTATATTTCTCGTAAAATTTACCGCCAACGCCAGCGGCGCCTCCTCGAGAACCTCATTCTGGGCAACGTGCTGCGGGACCATGTCAACGGCCTCCATCGGCACGGACACTGAAGGCACCTCGAGTCCGGCTGGCTCTTGGGGATGGGCTGAAAGGAAATGTTATAACTTAATTAATTAAAGTTAATTTTGAAAAATATCTATAAAATCGATTATAGCTTCAAAAAACCGACCATAATCACCGGCCAGGTGGCCGTGAAGTTGGGGCGGTGGCTGGGCGTAGGTGTGCTGCTCGGCCGGGTCGGCGCCCTGCATGGGTGGATCGAGATCGGACATTGTTGAATGTCAATCAATCAATGCAGCATATGGTACCTGAAACGGAAAAATGTATACAAATGATTCGATTAAATTGAAGCGGCAGAAAAGGAGGAAAATAACGAGAGATTCCAAAAACCCTGAGTTTACTTGGTTAAAAGCCGCACGAACTTTTTCGAATTCAGGTTTTCAAGCAAAACGAAAAATTCATATAAAAAATCTAGGAGCAAGTAAAATGGATAAACACGAGAAGAAAGAGCACAAAAAATTTCAAGCAATAAACCAGAATTTCCAGGGCCCAGAAATATTTCAATGTCATAAGACCGGCAAGTGATCGATTTTCTGCAAGACAAAACCGGTTTCCGGGACCAAAACTATTCTAATACTAGCATTAATGATAGCCAAGCATATAAAGCCCTGAAAACCACACGAAACCACCGATACGTCTTCTAAAGCTTGACCAAGCGGTACGGTGGAACCGTCGTTCGTAGGTGTTCGGGTTGCCGTCCAGGCACACGCGACGCCTCGGGGTGGCGACGCGGCACGCCGCTGGAACGAAGCCAAGGACGCAAAGGGATGGGAGCGCCATCGAGGTGTGACAGACACACACAGGCAGGGGGCGAGCGCACAGACGAACAAACAGATGGGCCGGGGCGCCAAATAGTCGTGAGGCTTAACAAAACAGGCCCTATCGCCCGCATAAAATTGCAGGTAGACTCTAGTCGCCCGAAAAAGCCTATTAAATTCCGCTTCATTCCTCATCTTTCGAAAACCAACTTATTGAAGGTTATTATTAAGATTTTTAACGATAGAAGTAAAGAAGGTATAGTTAGAAATAGAATCTCATTCTTTTGTTTTTGAATTTTTCTAAAATTCGTTATATTCGAGAAAACGCTTTAGAAAAATTCCGCAATGTTACGTTCCGCTTACCCAAATTTACGTTCTGGCGTCAATTGGAGCCTTCGGAACCGATTTGAGTTCGCTCCAAATGACGTCTTTTGTCGATAGATGTAACTCGTAGTATGCGGAATTTTCTAATTTTGCCATTTTTACTCTCTTTTTACTCAATTTTTAGCGCATTTCGTTCTTTTTAATCGAATTCTTGCGTTTTTCTTTATCTGGAACTTTCATGATTTCGAGCTGCCGATTTTCCTGATGATTTTTTACTTTTTTTTTGTGATTTCCCGTACAGTCCCGAAGTTTGCAACCCTCATAATAATCCGATAGCCTAGGGCCCACCTACCCAAACAATGGGCGATGAGAACTGCTCGGCTGGCGGAGGAGGAGGGGCCATCACCATCGACGGCAACGATTTGACCTTCGCAGCTGTCGCCCCCGGTGCGTACCCGCGCCTTTATAATTACGCAGCCGTTGACTGAGCCCCGGCCACGCGCCCCTTGTTGCATTGGGTGGCGCGGGGTGTAGACGGGTAAAAGATGGGATCTTGCCATCTAGGCGGAATTGAGTTTGCGGTCGTCTGGAAAGGCTTTCCGCGCGGGAGATCTTTGAGTAAAAGGTTAATTTCAGCCCTGGAAAAGCTTGATGGCCAGATTGCGGCGACGAGGGACAGCCAGAAGTTGTTGAATCAAAATGTGGAGGTACTCTCTGAGGTAGGTGAATCATGCCAAAATAGCGGAGGTATTTCTAAACTGTTTTTTTTACTATTCCTAAACGTGAAAACTTTACAATTTTTCTGAAGAATGCATTTCGATTTTTCGACCAAAAATGACCGTTTTGGGCAAAATTCAAATTTGAAAAATTTTTATAAGCTTTTAGGTAGTTTTTTTAATTAACAATAGTTTTATTTTATTAAAAAAATCTGAAAATACTTCCAATTATGTGACTAGGCATTGCTAGATCAATACAACCCCCTCCGTTAATGTCAAAGAACCTAAAAACCTAAAATTTTTAGTTTCTCCACGAGCTGAACAGCAGCGATGAGCCCTACGACCTCATCTCCTACGAGCTGAAGCTGATGGATTGTAAGAAGAGGATAGTGACGACAGGTAGGCTAAAAGAAAGTGGATTTTCCGATACCTAGAAAATTATAAAACGAAAAATTTTAGGCACTCAGCTTGGCAATATACACGATCGCCTCAGCAAGCTACAGCGCCAGATCGCCCGTGAGGTCTACAAGAAGAAGCAGCTCGTCAAGACCCAGCCTGCCCCTTCTGCCCCTGGGCTGTAGATTTCAAAATTTTAGGTTCTCAGCATAATTCCCGTGATTTCACTTGCCAAATAGAGTTGTGATGAGTTTCCCCTGTGCCTTACCCTTCTCACGCTGTGCCTGATACTTATTTCCAAGTGCTTTAATGAATAAATTATATGAATTTTGAGACCAAAAACCTTTAAAAAAATAGTTGATGACTAAAATAATTACAAAGAGGACATGTTATCAGGATATAAAGGTCAGTTTTAGAAAGAAAAATGGCGCAACCAGTCGATTTGTCGGCAGAATCGAAGCAGACGTTGCGCTTGAAGATGAAAGATGTAAGTGAAAAGGAAGAGGAACTAGGTTTTAAGAATTTTCAAAGGCTAGGATAGATTAATTAGGAGTTTTTAGGTTGTATTAGACATCGATAAGCTCTGCGGCTTGGCGATTGGAGAAAAAGAGGCCCTGGCATCGCTTCAGCAAGCCATCCTCGGCCATGTCGCCGCAGAAAAGGGCATGGAAAAGACGGAAGTCGGCCTGGGAAAAGCTGACGACATTTTGAATCAGGTTTGTAATGGGGAATATAGTATTTTAAACTTAAAGGTATGAAAAATTACGACAAAAATAGCTAGAAAACTTCTTAGATGATGAATTCCCTCGATGAAGTCGAAGAAGAGCTTCATATCATCGACGAGATGCGCAGCACTTTCAATATTATTCAGGCCACCGGCGGACATCCATAAACGATTAAAAATACTTTTAATTATTTGATTTTCGAGCCTCAACAGCTGTCCCGACGTGATCTGTGATCCCTGATGTCACTGTCTGTAATTTGGTCGTTCTTTGGAGTCGCGGGCAGTCCAAAAATTAATGGGCAAACATGCCAAATAGTCTCCCCTTCCCGCTCCTCTTCACTTTCTCCCCCTATCTTTTTGTCCTCAATTCCGATTTCTAGTGAACAAAACCCCCAAAATTATCTAAATCTACCCAATTTTCTGTGATTTCAACCGGTTTTCCTGATTCCTGATTCTACGTGATTCGCCGATCTCTTTCATTACTTTTACGTATCCTACCTCGGGTGAAAAGTATAAATTATCCATTTCCAGATATGCTTTCCCGGCTTGTCGCTTCGAATGTGGCGAGAATCGCGTCGGCCCGGTAAGAATTGACCTAAAAATTAAATATTTTGTATTTTTTAGCTCTATGGCCGCCTACCCGATCCCGGATGCGGTGTTTGGTTTGACCGAGGAAGAGCAGGCGGTATTTGATACCTTTTTGGCGTTACATGTTTACGTTGCAGCTCCGCCAATCGATTCGAACAATCGCCGACAAGGAGTTGGCCCCGTACGCGAATGATATTGATCGGTAGGGTTTGAAAACGTAAAATAAATTGGTTTTTAGTGACAACAACTGGAAAGACTTGCGGAAATTCTGGAGGACACTCGGTGACAATGGATTGTTGGGAATTACTGCACCAGGTTGGTAGTTTGCTTTTAAAATCAAGGGGATCTTTTGAAAGCCAAATTTTGATAGAATTTCACAAACTTTCGATATAGATTCGTGATTATATTTTATACTTTATCCATATTCTTTTTTCTAATGCCTCGTAAACCGCTTTTTTAAAGTTTGATTATGTTAAATTCAGCAAAATTTAAGCAAATGCTGGTTTTCATTAAAAATCAACTTTTATTTTCCAGAAAAGTACGGCGGCTCGGCGATGAACTACTTCTCGCACGTGCTGGCGATGGAAGAGCTGTCCCGGGCGTCTGGCTCGATTGCGTTGTCTTACGGTAATTTTCTTTTACAAAAAAAATAAAAGAATTTAGGAGCCCATTCCAATCTTTGCGTCAACCAGATCGTCCGTCACGGCAACGAGGCGCAAAAGGACAAGTATTTGCCAAAGGTTGGTTATTTTAACAAGGTTAAAATCACGGAAAATCCTGTTTTTAACTGAATTTCTAAGTTATATTTCATGAAATGGTTTAGTTCTTTAACTTATGAAGTTTTTCAGCTAATTTCCGGCGAATATTTCGGTGCCTTGGCAATGTCTGAAGCCGGAGCCGGCAGTGATGTCGTCAGCATGAAGCTCAAGGCCGAGAAGAAGGGCGATCGGTGGGTTTTATTAATTTTGACATTTAAAACTGTATTTATTTATTGCCGGTTTTTTATATACAATTTGAAGGTACGTTCTGAACGGCACGAAATTCTGGATCACCAACGGCCCGGACGCCGACGTGCTGGTCGTCTACGCGAAAACGGACCCCTCAAAGCACCAGCACGGCATCACGGCGTTTTTGATTGAGAAGGTAGGGTTTAAAATTTTGAAATCAAGATTTTTCTAGGACTTCAAAGGCTTCTCCACCTCGCCGAAGCTCGACAAGCTCGGCATGCGCGGCTCGAACACATGCGAGCTCGTGTTTGACAACTGCGAGGTTCCAGGTTAGAGTCTATAGGTAGTAAAAGTACTGAATGAAGTTAAATTCGCCTAAACTATAACAAAAGTTCTAATTTGTAAAAATAGATAAATCCATGCCTTTTTACAGATTATTTTCGTATAGTTTTTACTGTTTTTTTTTGCGGAAAAAGGTCGAAGAGTTGGATCAAAGAAAGCCTAAAATTGACCTAAAATTTTGCAATTCGGCGATTATTTCTTTTTTCAAAAACTACTTGCTTTATTTTTAATAAATTTTTACGAAAAAACTGTTTTTGCATAGTGTTTATTTTCCTATTTTTTCAGCCGAAAACGTGATGGGCAACCTGAATAAGGGCGTGTACGTCTTGATGACGGGCCTCGACTACGAGCGGCTCGTGCTCTCTGGCGGTCCATTGGGGTAAGTAGCTTCTCTATAAAATTTAACCTAAAATTTGTCTCAATCGTTAAATTTAAGCTAACTTTCTAATCTGTTATTGAATTTTATTAAAATTAAATTTTAAAGCTGAAATCACATTTTTCAGCCTGATGCAAGCCGCCTGCGACGTCGCCTTCGACTACGCCCACCAGCGCAAGGCGTTCGGCCAACGCATTGGGGAGTATCAGGTTTTTATTTCACGATTTTTATAAATAACTTTTTTAGCTGCTCCAAGGCAAGATGGCCGACATGTACACAACGCTCAACGCCTGCCGCTCCTATTTGTACACGGTGGCCAAAGCGGCCGACAAGGGCCACGTCAGCAACAAGGTCAGCAGTGCTTTTTCGTACTTTTCAACGTTATATTAATTTAAAGTGAAGATGATTAGTTGTCGATAAAAAAATTACTCATTTTCAGGATTGCGCCGGCGTGATCCTCTACCTGGCCGAGAAGGCGACCCAGGTGGCGCTAGACGCCATCCAGATTTTGGGTGTGTATTTTGTATTATTTAATTATCTAATTGTTTTTATTAGATTTTTATTACTTTTTATTTGCTGTTGAAATTGAATTTTTTTAGGCGGAAACGGCTATATCAACGACTACTCGACGGGGAGGATACTGCGCGACGCGAAGCTGTACGAGATTGGGGCTGGAACTAGCGAGGTCTAGTTTTAACGTTTAAAAAGATACATGGAAATTTTACGCCTTGTTCGAAAGGTATTGTGACGTTAAAAACACATCTAGAAGTTCTTCAAATATAATTTTTGAAAAGTTTAGAAAAACCTTTGATATTTAAAAAAATACGTAGGAATTTCTGTCTTTATTTTGAACGTATTCTAAAATTTAAGAGCTTTTAAAAACCCTTAGAAACGTAAAAATAACGTTTTTAACTAGTTTAATTTTTTAGACTTTCTTTAATAATTGTTATTTATCCTTTGTTAGTAATTAATTTGATTTTACAGGTCCGCCGCCTCATCATCGGCCGCTCGTTGAACAAGGAGTACTCCTCTTAATTTTGGGCGATACCTTGAACTTGCATTTATTAGGCTGTGAACGTGTTGAAGACGCCGTGTTTCTACATTTCGTTTGTTTCCTTAGTTTTACTAGAATTTTATCGATCCGATCACGTTATTCGCACCCAGAACTCGACTCGACCCGCGCCTCAATTTGGCTCCCAAAGAATGGGTATTTTGCAATGTGTGTATGTCTTTTTCTAGATTTCTCTATCATATCAAAGATTTTTTAATGTTTCCTAATATTCTCGAGCCTTCGAATGTACCCCGGTATTTTTCTATGTACAGATTTGTGCCGTTTCTTCTGTATGCTTTTTGTAATGGAGAGGACGAGAGATAGGAGCGGAATAAATTGATTTAATTTTTTCTTGGTTTTGTTAGGTACTTTTGCTTTATCGGGGGGGGGAATATATTGTTAATAACATTTATAAAGTGTTCGCGTCCAGGAATCAGAAAAAAAAAACAAATTTAGAAAGGATATTTCTGTTCTTTGAAAAATCTCATATTACGGAAAAACCTAGTTCCTCTCTCCCCCCACCCCCCGATAATGCAAAAGAACTAATTTTGTAAAGTTCAGTTTCTCTTTTTGCTCTGAACAATTCCCCCATTTTTTGAAGACAATCGGGCGCTCAAAATCCCCAAAAAGAGCCCGGAAAATGATCCTTATAATTGGACTGGGCCTTTGACGTCGCCGGCGGACGGCTCGAATTTCGGTGGTTTCTGGGCGATTTTTGAATATTTTGGAGAATTTCATGAATGGGATTAAATTGGAGATCAGGGTCTGGTTTCTGGCTGAAAATGCGGGTTTTCAACGTAGAAAAAGTTGAACTTTTTGGTTTTACACGGTCGGGCAGGCTAGTAGTGTTTTTAGCATTGTTTCCGGTTGTGCCCTCGTGTAGTTTCTAGCCTAGCTTATCTTTGTAAAAAAGCTATCATTTAAAATGTAAAAATGAAAAAAATTACTGTAAAGCCGTAAAAAAATCCATTAGAGAGCAGGCTAGCCGAGTTTCTTAAACATTTTTTGTATCATAGAGCCTAGAATCCTTAGTTTTCTGTAGTTTGTAGCTTCCAAATCAGGAAAAACGTCAATGGGAGGCTTGCAGAAATCCTTAGTGATTTTCCGTTTTTTTCCAGAACGCTATAATCGTTACTAGATGTAGTTTGTAGCCTGTCAATCTAGTTTAAGAAGGCCAAAAATACCTTTTTGTGGTCAAAAAGAGTTAAATTTTGGTGCTTTCTCCGTTGCGCACTGGAATAGCTCACAAATGGCAAGCTAGCAGAGTTTTCTATTAATTTTCCAGGTTTTAGACGTTATTCTCGTACTTTTTTTGCAGTTTCCACTCGACAAGTTCGTGTAAAAACACCGACAAACTCTTTACTGCTTCTGCTTTTCGAGGGTTGGCGGACAGGGTTATAATAAGCGAATGAACAGGAGGAGAGATAGAGGCGGACAGATGAAGCCTGCTCTTTTTTTAGGGAATATCACGGTGTGGCGGGGGCGTGGCGGGACCAACCGGGCGAAAGAAGGAGATCAACGAATGAGAGATCATTTGTGTTTTTTTGTTGTGAGAACAATTATTCTGTTGCGACGCCTCGGCGATTTTGGCGTCTATTCTTCCGACCTGAAAAAGAGGTGTTTTTTTACAAAAATGCCTGATTTTTTAGCTTAGTAATGACTTGATGCCCTAATTACCTAGAGATTTTGCAAAATCCTCTCCGGCTATTTGGTGTATTTTTTCTTAAATTTCCTTTTTTTTTGTTAAAATTGGTCCGTGGTCATGACGAATTCCAGCAAAAATCCCGACATGTCAAAATACCGACAGCCGAAATGGCAACAACTAAAATATCGACAGCCAAAAATCTCGATAACCGAAATCGCGATAACCGAAATCCCGACATATTCTTGAAGCTAGTTTTGAATGCTGCTTCCTTGGAAACAGCTACTTTGCAGGCCGGGTTGTTGGTCTGTCGGTATTTTGACTGTCGGTATTTTCACTGTCTAGAGTATCGCTGTTGGGGTTTCGGCGTTTTCCCACACTAACATAGCGTAATCCATTATTTGGGCGAGCAAAGACAAAAAATTATCTTGAAGATCAAAGCGCACGTTTTTGTACGTTTTTCTAAATGTATCTTAGGTTTTAGAGCTGATGTCTCTTCAAGACACTAGAAAGAACAGAATCGACCCTTTTGCACGACTAGGTCTCGAAATTTACACGACAAGTCAGCACAATCACGAATATCTTTAGGGATATTATCGTGTAACTCAGGCATGTAGCTCGGCTGTCGAGACCTAGCGAAACAGAGGCGTCGATTCTCGGGTTGCTTGCCCCTTTCAGCCTAGCTAGACAAAGCCAGAAACTTACTCCTCGAACTCCTCCTCCCCCTCAACACCAGCCGATCGCTTGCCGAATCGGATTAGGGGGCCCATCTCGGGTGCTCGCCCGAAACGGATCAGGGGGCCGGTGGGGGATCGCTTGCCGAATCTGAAGGAGGTTGATGATATGGAATCTAGCACACTCTCTCTCTCTCTGTCTTATTTTCTCTCATTCTCGCTATCTTTCTCACTATCTCTCTCTCTCTCTCTCTCTCTCTCTCTCTCTCTCTCTCTCTCTCTCTCTCTCTCTCTCTCTCTCTCGCTCAGCCTTAATAACCTACCGAATCAGGGGTCCAGTGCTGGGGGCACGGCCGAAACGGATCAGCGGTCCTTCGGGGGCGGAGCGGCCAAACCTAATATTTTAATAAATTACCGCATGGAGTATTTACGGCGCTAACTAACGATATATTTATATCCTACCGGATCAAGGGTGAGGTGTCAGGGGACCGTCCGAAACGGATCAGCGGAGCCGACGAGCGCTTGCCGAATCGGATCAGGGGGCCTGTTGAGGGGGACTGAAAGGCAATATTGCTATACAAAGGTTTGTAAGCATCGGAAATTTAATATGTTTTTTAGAGAGACGATGAACGCAAAAAAGATAGATCCGGTTACAGTACTCTTCCGGAATTACGGAAAATGAAAGAGAATACTGTAAAAATCGGCGCTAAGAGATCTAGGAAAGCTGAATTTTATTTTTAAAAGCGTTGGAATTCCAAAAACGGCAAATTATAAAGGAATTACAGCACTCGTTTAGAATTATTCTTCCGAAAAAGCTTGCATTTTTTATTTTTTTTTGGGTAGCTTGTCCTCTCTCCCTTGCTTTGGTTCTCGCTCTCTCGCTCTCTCTCACTCACTGCTCTGTCTCGCTCTCTAGCTCTCTCTCTGTCTCTCTCACTTTCTCTCGATCTCCCATGCTAGAGCCGTACTTGCCTCCGATGCTGTCACCACCGCTTTAAGAAATCCAAAAGGAAACCCACCCGCTTTCCAAACCTTATCAACGGCGCTGCTCGCTTCATGTAGTCTGCTGAAAAATAAAAGATTACAGTTGCTACAGTATCCTCTCTACTTTTCACACTCTCCACAGCAATTCGTCTACGCAGGGGGCGCAATAAATGGTGGAGGAGGGGGATCCGTTTATTACCGTACTCCAGTGAGCCGCCCGGGTATTTGGCTAAAGTTTTCGTAGGGTTTTGTAGAGCGGGAAAGCTATAGCAGTTTTTCCATAAGGATAGACTGTTTCTTTCAAACCCGAAATTAAAAAATGAGATTAACATGAATTCCACCTTTCTTAAAATATTTTTTCTGGCAATTTTTTTCATATTTTATAATTTTTTTTTGTAAGCGAGAAAATGATATTATAAATTTCTACCAAGCAAAAGAGGATCCAGACCTACAGCCGACTAAAATACACCACCAAAAATCCCAAATTTTCAAGGAACCTTGTCGCATTTCCTGGATACGTGCCGCCGGAACAAAAAGTTGTAGAGTGGTAAGCTACCAAAACACTCACTTAACGCTTCCATTCTTAAGAACTTTTTTTGCGTTTTTCATTTTTTTTTGCAAATGGCATCAGTAACGTTACGTCACGAAAAATCTTACTACAGGCGATACTCTGGCGATTTCTCTCTAGCTTTCTCTCTCTCTCTCTCTCTCTCTCTCTCTCTCTCTCTCTCGCTGTCTCAAGCTCTCTATCTCTCTCTCTCTCTCTCTCTCTCTCTCTTGCCTTTATCTATCTCTCGCTGTCTCTCGCTCTCTCTCGCTCTCTCTCACTCTCTCTCTATCTCTATCCCGCTCTAATTTCCAGCACACCCGGCCTTAAAGGTAGCTAGAAATTTTCACCGCATTAACACTCATGCTCCGAAAATTCTCGATAAATGTAAAAATGTTTTGAGCACGTGTTAGGAAAGCTGATGCTCGCTGACGCTGATGCTCACAGAATTTTTTAAAGCCAGGTTTGTAGCTCGAAAACTTCGTACTAACGGTAAGGAGCGCCAAAAACGTACTCTCATCCTCCAACATGCGAATCTCGGTCGAGTCGAATGGGGCGGCGTGGTGAAGGGCCACGAAGGAGATGAGCACGATGGCGAGGGGGGCGAGACGACTCATTCCAACGATCATTTGCTTGTTATGACAGAAGAAGGGGACGAGCACGGGGTGGCCCAAGGAGGTGCGTAGCCTGAAATAAATGGTGAATTATCGCGTATTGTTTATCAAGTCGCACTATCAAGGGAAGATTATCTATCAGGTTGGAAAGAAAGTAATGGCACAAAGATTTTAAACCGCTGTAAAAACCCGCAGGAATGTCCGATTTGAAAGTTTGATATATCGTTTGGTAGATCTTGGGATGCTCTATCACGAGACGACCCTCAAAACACCCAAAAACTAATGTACGCGAAAATACAGGCCTCAGAAGTTTCGCAGAAAATTAGGTGAAAGCTTCTAAGCGAGATATCTCTGCATACAAGCATTTGCATACGATACCTTTAACACCAATCGATAGCCCTCGAGGAGTAGATATTGGTAAATGTTGAGATCATCAAAATCGGACACTGGATGGCCGAGATATGGCCCCTAGAATTTTGGTCCACCTGTTAGAACTTTTCTCGAAATCCCATACATTTTGGCCTGCGCGAGCCAAAAACTACTGCGTTTGCTTCAGCTCCCGAAACAAAATCCAGAAAATGTATTGATTTTGCAAGGCCCATATCTCGGCCATCCAGTGTCCGATTTTGATGATCTCAACATTTACCAATATCTACTCCTCGAGGGCTATCGATTGGTGTTAAAGGTATCGTATGCAAATGCTTGTATGCAGAGATATCTCGCTTAGAAGCTTTCGCCTAATTTTCCGTGAAACTTCTTCGGCCTGTATTTTTGCGTATATTAGTTTTTGGGTGTTTTGAGGGTCGTCTCGTGATAGAGCATCCCAAGATCTACTAAACCATCTATAAAACTTTCGAATCGGACGTCCCTGCGGGTTTTTACAGCGGTTTAAAGATTTTGTGCCATTACTTTCTTTCCAACCTGATAAAAATGAAGAAAAATCAATAACAATGGAAGAAAATAGATGAGCCGTTTTGCAATGCGCTAAAATACAGTAAGACAATGAAGACCAAAAATCCTCATCAGCACCCCAAATTAATTAAAAAATGGTTTTGGGCTACAAATTGTAAAAATACATTCTTTTTCAACAGAAGATTTCAAGTATAAAAAAATATAGCATTTCGAGCATCAGTATAAAATTCTGAGCACCAAGAAGGAGCTCGAGAAAAAGTCTGGCCTCTCATCTCCCAATCACGAACTTCTCTCATTCCCAATTTTTGCATATTACTTAGCTGTTCAAACGAATTTTTTGCGACTTTGTGGAGGCGGGAAGAAGCGTGTGAAAAGCTGGAAGGGGTCATGAAATGTTGCGTGGCTTTTGGGAGTTCGAAAGTTGAGAAGGGGTGATTGAAAGTACGCAATCCGACTTTTGAGAAGCCCAATTTAAAAAACCATTCAGTATTTTATATTTAAGCAATACTGTCTCTAAAATCTCCGGATCATCTTCCGGTTAGACCGAAACAGCCAGGAAGTTCGTAATTCTGCGACATTTCGTTCCCGGCATCGAATTTTTCTGAAGTTTTAAATTCATGCGAGCGTAGCGTTAGCAATTTCCAAAATCCGGTTTTCATAATCCAAAATTTCGCGAATTATTTACAAAAATTAAAAAGTGTAAAACTGAAACATTTTTCTACCTAGCCAACCAGTTTTTTGGGCCTTCTTGCTAGGGTGATGCGTTTTTTTAAAATTTTTTGGAGCCGTTCCCCAGATTGTTATGGTTAGCCGCGTTGTCTGATGTGTTGTGCGGTGCAACGCGGAAACCAAATTTGAATCACGATCCCGGCAAGAATTAGATTTTGAGCTGCTGGTTCAGCGGCTGATATGGGGATAGACAGCAGATTGGAACTCCGATTGACTAAAAATATTTAAGATTTCAAAGAATTGGCGATTGAGGAATCCGGCAATTCTGGAAAAACCCTTCGCTGCAAAAAAGTGGGTTTTTTGTATACTTTGATTTTCGAAATTTTTTTTAAGATACCAGATTAGGCTCAAAAGCAAATTGCCAATTTAATTTTTTTTAGTCAATCAATTGTATAGCTGAAAAAGCATTTTTTACGTGAACTCGGGTCTATAAAATTGCGTCTTAATGAGTTACTGTAGACAATGACAAAAAGGAGCTCCTAGGAATGCCAAAATCTCAGAAAAACCACCTTTTTTTGTATACATTCATTTTTTAGTAATTTCTAGTTCCTAAAAATACGTTCTGAGTGGACTGTAGGACGCGATGAATTTAAATGACTGTAATCCGTAGTAAAAAGTAGTCACCCGGAATTTCAAGACATCAGAAAAACTGCCAGCCAAACCCGAGCGCGTGCTTGAGCGAAGAAGTGGAGCTGGAAGTGTTTAGAACTCCCCCACACTCACTACCCCCACCCCCTTCCGTGACCCCTCCAGAAGCAGAAAAAAAGAGAAGAAGCTGAAGAAGAAGCGCTGCACGCAAAAGAGCAGACAGAAAACTAGAACAATCGCGCTGACGCGTGTTCCAGCGGGGTGAGGGCAAAGATTTCGTAGAAGACGTCGGGGTTTCGGGAGACGATGAACCAGAAGGAGAAGCTGGAGGAGAAAAAGACAAGAAGAAGCCGTTCGGCGTGTCGACCCGGCCGGAATTATTCAAAGCGATGCCCTCGAGGAGGGGCCACCGAAACGCCTAGCTTGAAGAAAGGGTCCTTACTCAGCCACTCGACTTCGGGAGGATACCATGGACAGGGTTGGGTGATGATACTACACGTGGGATGAGAGTACGATTAAAAAAAACACAGGAGGAGGTATCTCTCTCTCTCTCTAACGCTTGCTCTTTCTCTCTCTCTCTCCCTCTCTCTCACTTTCTCTATCTCTCGTGCCGACTAACCGACGATGTTTCTTGTCTCTCGCTGTCGAACTGCTTGCGCTATCTCTCTCTCTCTCTCTCTCTCTCTCTGTCTCTCGGCTCCTCTCGCGCTTGGTGATATTTTAAAACGCTTTCTGAATTTTGGACGGTTCCGGTCAAAACAAAAAGATTCTGCTAGTTTTGTTGTTCTGAATTTAGAATCCAAAAATTGTGATCTATCCGCTGGAATGAGGAATGAAATGGAATTGAATGAACGAAAAATCGATGCGGGAAATGATCATAATCCATTTCTCGGAGAACATTTGATTACCTAGATCCGACACAAAAATTGCCGATGCTGATATCACCCTGACGGCAAATTATTCAATTACGACTGCAAATTGTATAGAAGCGGTCGGGAAATTAGGAGCGCAGAGATCGGCAACAATGAAAGAAAAGGGGACGGGGATCGGCGGCAAGTTTCTGGCTTCAATAGACCTTTCACAGACACAAATCGGAAATTTTCCGACAAGGTTCTTTAACGGAACCGAGGAGCTTGAAAATCAACCCCTTGTTTCGACTAGGTCTTGACAGTTACGCATCAAACCAAAAGAAATAGTAGAACAAGCTTTTTTAAGTATTTCTTAACCTCGACTTCCGCTGGAAAGGAGTTGTCGAAACCTAGTCAGCCTATACGGTTGATTCCGGCATTGACTGGGCCCTTTAAAATGTATATGGCAGAATTTATGAATAAGCAGACTAAAAGATGACTTAAGACTAAGCAAAGCCTTGGCTAAGCCTAACCTATGCCTAGGCCTAAGCCAGAACGAAGCCAGGCCTGAGCTAAGCTTGAGCTTACCCTAAGCATAAGCCTAAGCCTAAGCCAAGCCTAAGCTAAGCTTAACCTAAGTCGAAACCGGAGCCTAAGCCAATTCTAAGCCTAAGCCCAAGTCCAATCCTAGGCCTAAGAAGCCAAAGCCAGGCCAGAGCTAAGCTAGAAAGAGCCGAGCTCTGAATTGACAATCAAACTGATGACCTCCGCCCCCCGCGGTACATAGTACTGCGGCGGAATAGCATAAGGGTTAGAAGAGGGGCGTGGCTCCGCGGGGGGTGATCGTTCCCTTCCCCTGATTAGCATAAGGCCTTGGATTTCGGAGGGAGGTTTCGAGGGCCACGCTGGGGCCGAAATCCGATCCACCGGGACGAAACCGGGGGCAACCGGGGGGCCGATTCTGGATTGGCCGGACGTACGGATGAATACTGATGATGATGGCTGGGAGGCGGATGATGATGAGGATGCAGTGGGGATCAGGAAGATGATGCATATGTTTCCGGTGATTTTTGATGGTCTAAAGGGGGCGCGACAGGGGAAAGCTCCGAATTTAGAGGGAAATCCGGTCCTCATCTCCTTAGCGGGATAAGGCGCGCCCTAACCCCATTTTTGCATAGCGTAACCGATCGCCTCTTTGCCAGGTTTAGGTCAAGCCTGATCTTATTCTTTGTTTCTTTCTATCCTCTTAATCGGCTTCATTGTCGACAAGTGTCTTTTTCGAGTTTTCGGAACCCAAATTTTAAAGGGATGGTGTCAGCAGTGTTTATAACGGAATTCAGGAGAGTACGATAAGCTGTTGGTGAAAGGAAAAGAACAAGACGATTAAAAAAAATGTCTAATAGAATTTTTTAGGACGGGTAGATTACCGAAGAAAACGTCAGCAAGGCGTTCAAGTTGAATCGATAAAACATGAGACAAGTTGCTGTCATTGTAACTTTGAGACAGCAGGGTGTTTCATTTAAAGGGACTGCGACAGCAGGATGGTTTCCGGTTAGACGACTTCAGAAGAAAAAAATGGGCGCTGAGATGACAGGTCGGACCGATCAACTAGCCTTAACCCCTTTGAAAGTTCGAAAAGCCTCGCAGTTATAGGCGCATTAATGGCATGGGCAAGATATCTTCTACATACAACAGATACAACCAGGTACGGTCGAAAAAAGCAAAAAATTAATGGTGAAATTAGCTCTTGGATCGAATTTAGTGACTTCAACGGTCCTTTAAAATTCTGTCAGAACTGGCACCATCCCATTGGAAAGAAAGAGAAAAATTAAACCCGGAATCCGAAGTTGAGCGAAGCAAGTGAGCCATACTTTAAAATCTCGACCGCATCCCGCTGCTTTTATTCATATTTTGCAGAGAATCGGCTGACGTCGTAAA